GGGGGGGCTCGGAGCCCTCAGCCGCCGCTGCTGCCGCCGCCATGCTGAACCGCCACTGCGCTCTCGCGAGAACAGCCCGAGCTCTCGCGAGACTCAGCCGTGCCCGCGCGCCGGCCCCGCACTGCCGAGCAGCGCCCCCTGGCGGCGGCCACCGGGAGCACACCGCGGGCTAGTGACGTCATCGTGCACGGCCGTGACGTCACACAGCCACAGCGGGGACACGAACCGGGGCTGACAGCGGGGACACGAATCGGGGTGACAGCGGGGATATGAACCGGGGTGACAGCGGGGACATAGACCGGGGTGACAGCGGGGACACGAACCGGGACTGAGTGGGGACACGAACCGGGACTGACAGCGGGGAACGAATGGGGGCGACAGCGGGGACACGGACCGGGGTGACAGCGGGGACACGGACCGGGGCCTCTCCCACGTTCCCGGTGCCCGCGGGAGCACCGAGCGCGTTTCCCCCCGGGAAGGACGGGTGTTTCCTCTCCGGGGGCTGGCGGGGGATCCCTCGTTGGCACCGCACCCCGGAGAGATCGGGGAGAGATCGGGGCTCACGGCTGCCGCAGGTGCTGCKCCCTTCTCCGAGGAGCAGGGCAGGACGGACCGGGGCGGGATGTGCGAGGGTCACTCGGCCCCAGCGCTCCCGGGCTGTGCGGGGTCTGGCGACAGCAGTGTCCCCAAACAGCGCGGAGGTGGCCGCTCCCCGCCCGCAGCCACAGGGACCGGGGGAGAGAGGGACAGAGGAAAGAGAGGAATTGGAGGGGTGGATGGATGGACGGACGGACGGATGGAGGGATGGATGGAGGGATGGATGAGGCTGGAGGCAGCGGGGGAAGGATGGGGAGAAGGAGAGAGGGAGAAAGAGCCGGGCGAGGGACGAGAGAGATGCAAAAGGGGAGGGATGGCCGGGCGGTAGATGGGGGTGGAGGGGAGGGAGGATAGCGATAGGGACGGAGGGATGGGAAGAGGGACGGGGAGAAGAGGGGAGGGGGCTGTGGGAGAGGGGGGTGCGGGGGCCGCCCGGGGCGGCGCTCGGGGCCGCGGTACAAATAGGGCGGCTGCGGGTGGCCCGGGCAGACATGCGGGTCCCGCTCCGCTCCGCGCCCGCGCTGGCGCTCTGCACCCTAACCCTGCTCCGCCTGGGCTGCGCGGCGAGCCGGGCACTCACCTGGCCACCGACCTGGCCACCGACCTGGCCACCGACCTGGCCACCGAGCAGAGCATCCTCCCCGGCTCTCACCTGGGCACCGACCCGCGCCCCGCCGCGCTGTCCCCCGCTGATGCTGCAGCTGCTCCGCGCCCCTCCCGCCCCGCTCCGCGCCGCCGCCGCCGCCGCTCTCAGCCTGTCCCCACACGGTGAGTGG